ATACCCGATAAAACCGATATTACATATTACTTACCATCGATTATTATTTTCTATTAATAAATATAATAATGTTGACTTAATGTATAACTATAAAAGACAGTTTTTCAGCCAAGTCTGCAACCACGAAAGATCATTTTCATGTCTCGTTGAAGTACCGAATAAATTTAGAGTAGTGGTGGAATTATAGATAATGATATAGTAAATTAACGAGCGGTAACAAGCTAGTATAATAAAACGTCAAGTTTCTGGCTAAAATTGTAGTGTTTATTGCTGGCTTAAAACAATTCATAGAGAAATTGGGTTCTTAAACTGTTTTGAATTTATTATTTAGTTCTAATTTGAACGTTGAACGTATAACATATCTCTTATCTCAAATCAGATAACAGCGTAACAGATTAACATTCGAAATAGATCCGAAATGGTCATTCCGATAATTGTCTTTCGTCGTCGCTTCGTAGTTTTTGTTACATTGCGGCGCGTAACAGCGTAACGCTTTTTTGGTAACACTTTTTTTCGGTTATTTACCGGCTAAATCTCACCCTTATCTCCTACCTCCTATTCCACCCCTATCTCCCGTCCCCAACCCTTTTGCTTTTTTCGTTACGCTCTTTTGGTAACGCTTTTATGGTAACGCTTTTTTCGGATATTTGCCAGGGTTATGTGCCAGAGCTAAGACATGAAAATGTCAATAATGTAAATGCTTTAGTGAAATGTACTTTTCAACATAAAGTAACGTAGCCTTCTGAAATGCATTCGTATTTATTGTTTGTTTGAATAATTCTTGCGTTAAATATCAACTTTATGAGATTATAGCAACTATAATTGCTTAATAGTTTTGCCATTTTAATATAAATTCACTATTATATTAAAATGCTATGGTATAGAAGTTTATTCTATGGTATAGAAGTATAATATAATTTAATTAGTATTATGGTAAGCAAATTACTATTATACTTCTTTAATACTGATACAGTAACTTATTTAAAAATAATATAATGAAAAAATCTGAAATTTTGGCCAACACGAAAAAAACTACTTTTTAGATTATAAATTCAATTTATTAACTTTCTGTAACGCAAAAAAAAAAATAATAATCTTTTCAGAAAGCTGAGATTATTTTAAATAATCGAAAATCATTTTTAATAGTTTTGTTTGATGGCCGAAGATACTATAAGAAAAATATTAAAATCAGGTGTCAAGATAAAAACTCAAAATACTTTTTACGGCCCTGGTCAAAATAATCGAAAAATATTTGAAGTCATTCTTTTCATCGTAACAGACATGCAATGTAATTTTCAAAAAAATCGGCAAACGTCCTAACGTTGATCCCTATATATACTTTAAACAAAGTCTTAAATTGGAAAATTGTTATTTATAATTTGTTTAAACAATTATTTACAATAATGAATAGTATTATGATAATGAGAATACAAATAAAACTTTGAAGTAGATGTTAAATACTATAGGAAGACTGAAGCAAATAAATTATACCCTCGTAATGACATACATATATACTCTGTAATAATAGAAGATAATGGGTTTTCGTAAGTGTTTAAACTTTAAAGGGCGAGTTAAACAGCGCAGTTTGAGATGAGAGAAGAGCAGACAAAAGGAATGTGTGAGAGATTGCAAACAATTCGTTTAAGTGCGCTCGTGGTGTAATGTGTTAACATCAATGAATTATAGTAATCATTAAAAAGTGTAATGAATTTAAGAAAACATGATTTTCTTGTCATGAAGTAAGAAAAAGAAAAGTAAATGTAAAACGTTTTTTTGATCAGGAGATAGTGTTATGAGTATACAGCGAATATCAGTAAAAAAATAGACAAAATAAAAATATTTGTTGGTAAACTGGAAATCCATTCAAGTATTATTTTGGTCCATTTTTGGGGTTTTAACTTTATGTTCAACTGTCTATTCAACTTGCCTGCGGCATTCAATATTAAATCTTACAATCGAAAACAGAGGTGATCTCTTATACGATTCGGCATCATTTATACTGCTTGTACACTTGCCCGTTTTTTGTGTGCTTTCCTTTTCCTACCAAACAGCTTTTCAAGTTTTGTTTGACATTCCTTTCAATTTTCCCCGGGTAGTCCATTCACTACTGTTTCGTCATATTTTTAATGTTCCTTTTTTATATAATACCGAATCGTTGTAGCCGATTTTTCTTAGCTCGCTTGACGCTTGTTTGTCATATGTTATGTATGATGCGAACAGTATTCTTAATACTTACTGTATTACGTTTAATTTACCTGTTTACTTTTCAATGCAATATTATTAATATGTGTTTCATTTTAATATAGATTTTAATAATTATAAATGGAGGGTCTGAAACATTTATTGTTGAGTTTCATCGACGGCATACGTTTCTAGAAAACTTTTTACGGGGATGTAAACTAGATATAATATTTAAATATAAGTACAACTGTATTTTTATCCTCATCCAAATTAGTTATTTTTATATCAACTTTTGAAACTTAAGTAGTAACGTGTATATATTGTATTAACTTTTTAAATTAAGAATAATATACTAAACATGTTGACTGGTCGATAATCAGTTTTAGATAACTATTTAGTAATTATATTTAAAAAATAAACGAACACGTAAGTATAATATAAAATATAGATGTTAGTTTTGAAAAGTGTTATAATTTGAACCAGCTAGTTTTGTGTTTTCATAAGATATTAAAAAATTTAAATTCTAACGGTTTTAAATTACGATAAGTTATAGTATTTGTAATATAAACAGTATATAATATATACTATATAGATATAATCTAAGTATATTATGCCAGTAAATTATTTTAATGTTTCAGAGGTATTTGTTAAGGAACAAACTATAATATTTAGTAGGTACTATCTATAAGTAGGTTTTAATTTCTCTTCTTAGAAAGGAGATCTACAGTAGGATGGGTAGTATAAATAAACTTGCATATATATATATATATATATAATGTATTTTTAGATTTTTATTTCATTTCCTTATGTCTCCCTGTTTGCACGTCAAATATAGGGTGATTATTTTATCGTGAGCCACTCAATATCTCATAGAATTTTATAAGTAATTAATTTTTTTATAGCGTTTTTAAACTATGTAATCTCAATATCTAATACATTTTTATGTTTTTAATCCCTTCCTAAACTATAATTATTGCTACACCACCTTTGGAAACTTAAAAGGTAACGTATATATTTTATTAACTTTCTAAATTAAAAATATTTTACTAAAAGTTTTGACTTTGTGATAACCAGTTTTGAACAACTATTTTTGAAGTTATAAGAGTTTAAAGGTTAGGACATGAAGGTAAGTGCAGTTGGGAAGTGTGTGCAGATCAAAATACCACACTACACTCTTCCTCCTGTCCTAAACTTGAAACTTCAATACCTTAATGGTACAATAAGTACAGTTACTAAATAGTTATCTAAAACTGGTAATCACCAGTCAAAATGTTTAGTATATTATTCTTAATTTAAAAAGTTAATAAAATATATACGTTTCCATTTAAGTTTTAAAACTTTTTTTTTTTATAGAGAAAATATACAATATGTATAATTTAAAACACAATAAGTATATGTGTTGATATAATACAAAACATGTGATAAATTTGATAAAGAAGTCACCCATTAGTGATACTTACATTTTATAATGCAACATATGTTTTAAATATTAATATAAAAATAACTTAATTGAAAAGGGTGCTAAAAACATAAAAGTTTGTGTAAAATTGAGATCACATTGTGTACTACGGAAAAATATAATTGAATAACTGATTAAACTCTATAAGATATTGAGTGGATCACTTTAAAAAAATCAGCCTGTATTTATCTAATGTGTACTTAAAACACAATATAAAAAAAAATCTGTAGTACACAGAAGTGTTTTTTTTTAAGGAAAAATAAAATATTTGTTAAATCTCAATTTCAATGTTATTACTCTAATTTTCTGACAATTTAGATTGTCTGGGATTTTTATGCTAATCGAATGTTACTCAGTAGGGAGTTTTCTTGAGAATATCCCAATAAAGATTTGAATAATATACTCACCATTTTAGAGTTATAGAACGTTAAAATTGTAAAATATATCTACTGTAAAGATAGTCCATAGGTCTCAATATACCTTAATATAGGTATTATGTTATTTGCGATACCTGGTTCTGTAAAAATACTTTGCTTGAGAATTTTTTCTTGTCGTATATTTGATTGTTCTGGTTGTTTTTTAACATAATAATAATATAAGAGTCGATATGGTGGTAACAATACGAGAACGACGACAACAATAATTCAAGTATTGTAACGATGACCGGCTTGGATATCGAACGCGATGCGCCGCCCGACTATACGGTCACGCACGTGTATCGCCACCGACCCCCTTTGTTACTCTTAGTTTAGTGCTTACCGTTTGTGTGTTTGTAATTGTTTATTTATTTGTGTGTGTGTGTGCGTGTGACGACGAATTGTCTAGCCAGTCGTCTCCGTTGAACGCATTTATTGCGCTTTAAAAAATACAAACAATTAAACAGCAAATACATTTATTTTCGAGCAGTAAAAAATAGAAAAAATTTAGAGAGGAACAAGAAGGGAATTATAATATTATGCACGATAATAAAATTATCGTAAAAAAGAAAAAGCAAAAAAAAAAGGCCGTTTCGACGACGTCGTTGAAATGCCGCCGTATTGTAGGTGGGGCGCTTGAGGGCGCTGCCCTCGCCCCGAGATCAGTAATAAAAAACCCTTCGGCGCCGCCTACCTCGCCGTCTTCCTTTATAACAGACCGTCGCGCCCTCTTCTTTTCACTCCTGTCCATCTAACCCGCGGTGAGCGGGTAAGCCCCGTCACCACCAGCGTGTCCACCGTAGGGCCGGGTGAGCGTTATGTTTGGCGGCTCACTGGATAGGGGTGTAACGGTATGGGCGGGGAGGGAAAAAGCGCCGTACTACGGCGGCCTGAGCGTGGCGACTGGCGTGTGCGTGGTGCAGTGTACTTTGCGGCGCCGTCGAAGTTGCCAGCGTGCATTCCACGTTACGTACGCCGCGTGATTATATACATTTAGACATTTATTATATAAATATTTTTTCGCATAGACATTCTTCCTTTAATCTCGGCGTTTGATACGCAGTGGTACAATTTTTTTTTTTTCGCAATCGATCCGCTTGAGTATTATTATTAATTATCGTCATCGTTAATTTTTCCATTGTCAATTTATCATATATTCGCCTCGGCACTGACGTCTCGTGTCGAACCGGCCGAAAGTTCGTAACCGTTAAGCCGGTAACCGTCGTCTTGATCGCCCGGCCCGCGCGAATTTCATTCATAAGACCGGCCGGCCGGCCACCCTCCGCCGTCGACGATTCACTGCTACTGGTACTACTACTACTACTACTACTACTACTACTACTACTACTACTACTACTAACCGCATTTCTGCGAATTCCATCTCGGTCCTGATAGTAAACAAACTGCTTCTCTCTCTTTCTTTCTTTCGTTCTGTACATTTACATTTATGAAGTTTGGATAGTTTATTCTTACAGCTGTCTTACTCGGTCAAATTGTAACGATTTTGACGAAATTGGTAAAAAACGAATGGGTGATCGTTATTGCCTTGAATTTTAAGGGTGAGTAACATTTTATTTAGTCATCCAACTATTTATTCGTAGTAAACCTATCCTATTTGTTAAGTATATTTTCTCAAATTAAAAATGAAAATGTGTACAAATACGTTTTATTTTTTGTATGTCAAAAAAGATTTAACTATTTTAAAAAAAATTTAGTCTAATGATATGAATACTTTTAGCTTATAGTTTAATAGTAAAATGTAGAATTTGACAGGAATGTATTTTGAGCCACTGATTGTAAGTATACATTTAAAGAAATAATAATGATAAACAATGCGAAATAACGGTTTTGATGGACCACGTTTGTGTCTTACCTCGTAACGTTCTAATCACGTGTTACTGTTTTCCCGCGTGTTTTCGTCTACGTTATCATTTTTAAGTCGTTCCGTCATTGTTTTTTTACCTCTGTAAGATTTATTATATCTTCAGTATTTCATCGGCAGATTGTTATAATGTTGAAAAAATAATAGTTGACCGTTGGATAGAAAGTGCACCATAGACTGACGGTTTTAAATGATATTTTAGTTTAAAAATTACATTTTTGTTAAGCTATACGCAGAAACATTTGTAACTAAACATGTAGTTACTAAATTAATTTAATAACATTTTAATCATATACTATTAGACTTCTATTTTACATTTAAACGACTAAGATTTTTGTTGCGGGTCGGCGTTTGATTAATAATACCTTTTTGTTTGCTAATAATATAATTATGAAATCATTTCCGTTGTACTTTTTGTTAATCAAGTTTTCTTATTGGTCATTCAAATAACGTACCTCAAAACTTTACTTTTCGTTATTTATCTACAAACTAATTCATTCACCTATCATTTTGTGTTCATCAATTACATGTATTAATATATATATATATATATATATATATATATATCTTACATTGTATCACATTTTACTTTTTATGCTAAACGGCACCTTGAGAAAAAAAATTCTTCCTACTAATGGTGAAATGGCAAATCTAAATCCTTATTTATATCAGAAGAAAACTCAACGATAAGAAGTCTTTTTCCATAAAATGTGTGTCTAGTGTCTACACTTGTAGAATAAAAAAGCGTTTTTGGCTAAAATAGTGACTTATGGGGTTCCTTAATTCAACTAATTACTTATTACCATTGATAATAAATAATACAGATAATACAGCCCACTGGCATGTATTTTTTGCTGCGCGTTGCTTAATTGTGCCGTTGTAGAGCGCTTTAAACTGTTTTTAACACGCTTATTAGTTAAGGCGGTAGGTACCGTGAGCGCTGACGATCGTCGCGCAAGCGCACTACGTCGTTCCTGGCTGTATTGCGCTTGCGCGACGATCGTCAGCGCTCACTGTACCTACCGCCATAACTAAAAACAGTATAAAGCGCTCTACAACGGCAACAATTAAGCAACGTGCAGCTATAAATACATGCCAGTGGACTATCTATATTATTTATAATCAATGCTATTGCTAATAACCGATTAACACTTATTCTAAACAGTTAACTTGCTCTATACCTCTCAAATCAAAATTAAGCTCTACAAATGAGTTATCTTCAATTCTAAAAAATATAATTGGATTTCCCTAATTCAACTCTCTGATTATAGTTTTGTATCAGTTGTCTATTCTTTCTGAGTACTTATTTTACGTTGTCGCGTTTTTAGTAATAAAGGTCCTTTTGGGAAATCTGAGACATTAGTATTCAGTGGTTTTCTACATACTTTGTTTAATTATAATTAAAGATAAATTCATAACCAAGATCCCGGATAAAGTTCCGGGAAAAAATCACATTTTATTCGTTACAAAAATTTATATTTGACTTAGTATGGGCGCCCGGAAAGGGGGAGGCAAGACGGGGCATTAGCCCCCCCTTCAAATGTAATTTTGAAAATTTTAACTTTAATTATTGTTTAAATAACAATAAGTTTTTATTTATTAACGAATAAAATATAGTATATTATAATTGTGACATATTTTGTTGTTTGCAAAGAATAAACTTTTTTTTTATGTACTTTTTGGCGTTTGATTTCATTATTGTGGGCGCCCATGCTTTTAGCTAAGCAATCTTTATTTATCCCCGTATGCTATTGAGCTTATTAAGTATATTAAAAATAAAATTATAGCTTCCTAAAATAATTTATTTTTTTTCTAAAATTCGAAATTTTAGAACTGGACAACTGTTTTAGACAATAAAAAAAGAAGTTAAAAATACTTTTTTTGGCTGAGTTGTTTTCCTATTATACTTTTTCTGAAACAAATATAATTTTTTATAATTCAATGCTATAATATGCGTGGTACAATTTTAACTTTCTTTTTAAACTTTCATGATTAATTTTATCATTGAAAGCAAGAAAATTACAGTTGTTTAGTTAAATTCAAATGCGTTTAATAGACGCGCAATAATCTGGCGAAGGTGTAGTTAACATGGCAAACGGACAAGGTTTACAGGTATAATTTGAAAGAAGACATGAATTTAAAGCCAAAAAGGGTATCAACTGCTGTGTGCTGTTGCTTGTTCCTGCTGATTGTAGCAAAACCAGGACTACTATGTAACGCGGCCATTAACTCACAGCTTCACGTCCCAAAGCAGGACGTTGTCTCCAACAAAACTTATATTGGACCATTAGTTTTGCTAATAAGGGGACACATTGGCATCTTTTGGTTATTTCTATAAGCAATTTAATATGATGACATGATATCATGGTTTAAACGGACAAAACTAGGCACAGATAACTGATTTCTTTATTGGATGGTGCTAATATTATTAACAAACAGTAACCTAGTAATCAAACCTAATTACCAATTTTACACGATACTGATTACTGATGCCAAATAACAAGACGGATATCGTTTGTAATACAACTGATCTGTGTTCATATTCTACATTTAAAACATATTAGTTTAAAATTTATCACAAAACGTTAAACAATTGTTTAATAATATTCTTGAGTTTTAATCGCATTAACAGTTGGAAAATTAAGTAGATGAAATATCTTCATTTTACCAGTTTTTTAATTCAATGTTTTTGTCGACGAATATATATTTTTAAGTACCTACTAAACGTATGTTTACTGTTATTATTTAATATAGACTAAACATTCAGCTATATTTCTTTTATAATTAAACCAGGTTTTATATTTTTTCAATCTTGATTTTATTATTTTATTATAGTATATCATTGTGATTTCTTATATTAATTATTATACACAATGTTAAATTTATACATTTTCTATATAGAATTAACTTCTATTCAAAAAAAAAACAATACCTCTAGTGGGGAGAGGAGATGGGCATTTACAATCATGGCATTCTAGCTCTCCCTTTTGTATACACCTTTGGGACGAACGATTTAAGGGTTGGGATGAAATTAAAATGAATACATTAATTCGATCAATGTGATGATGCAAACAGAGCGTGATATTTCTTTTCACGCTTTTAAATAGGGCCCGTACTCTGTTGTAAGCGGTTTGCCAGGCGCTTATGTAGTTGTATGTAATAATGGCATGTTTTTGGCACTGGGGTTTTATTGCCACGGACGAGCAACATAAATTCACTCTAAATCGATGGTTTACAGCAGTCAAGAAGAGCCATTTTCTTTTATTTTATCGTTTTTACTTGACTGGACGGCACACGTGACCAATGGATTTATTATTTAAGTTCTCTTTCCTTGTGGTCAGCAACAGAAAAATGTTTATGCGCGCTGGTGTGATTTTTGCAAAATTTACAAAATGCCTTAACACCACAAAACAAATGGTTCCCGTTGAGTTGTCATAAGGGTCTAGGAAGGTCTAAAACTGTCTATAAGTGTCTGATGCTCGAGCTCAGGCCGTCCTGAAAACCTGCTAGGCAGTGGACATTCGAAAGCCTATAAATTGACATAGGTACATCTTTCCAGACCCTCATGGAAACTTCTATTTTGTGTGCTGCTAGGGTCCATATTTATCGGTCCTCCTTAAAATCTGTTATCGCTAGGGCATTAACTAGTAACGTTTTACAGTAATCAAATTTCCAAGTATCGGTATTCTTTAACTAAAATGAGTTATTGTATCTCTTAAACGTGTCAAAACCAGCACAGAAAATAAGTTAGGTATTTTATTGTTTCCAGTTTAAATGCAACGTTTAAAAGTTTTCCAATTATTCGGAAGTCATGTAACTGGACAGGTTATAGTTAAGTTTATAAACGTTTAAGTAAATAGAGTCCATTTTAGTTTAGTTGATTTCTTGAGTATTTCCCTCGGTTGTGTCTAATTCGGCCAGTATACGCTATTTTGCGTTGAAGTGTTGAAGAAAAGATTTAAAGTGTTCTTAGTAAAACCGAGAAAAGTTCTTTTGCCTCCAGTGAATAAAATTTTGTGTGTTCGTCTAGATGTTTGTTCTCATTCTGAAATTATAATAACCGTCTCTTTTATTACTTTCAAGTGTAAGCTTGAGCGTTCTGAAAGTGTATTATGGCAGAAATGCCCACGTGAACGGCGTTTTATCCTTAGATTTTGGACTGTCTTGTGTAAACTATAGAATATAGATGTATAAAAGTATACATAAAACACTATTATTTCGATATTGCATGTCGTTTCGTGCGCCGGGTCGCACTGAATTAGTGTTATATGTTTTTTCGTGACGTTGATTGAACGTGTGTTATCGTTTTCTGACACGTTTTTAACATCTTTATGCGTACTTACTGTTTAACCCGCAACTAACGCTTAATTACACAGGGGTGTAAAAAATATAATAGTATACAATCCCATCACCTAGTGCTCCAGAGTTTGAATACAAATTATAACGATTTCTTTAAAAGATAATCAAGTGTCTTTGCGTTTAGAAAAACATTATACCGGGAACACTTAAGTTTTTTGTTCGTTTTCGGCGTAAAATGTGATTTTACAAAATATTTATCGTAGTGGTAGGTATGCCTCGAGCTAAGAAAAAGGTTTCGTCGCCACCAGAACGACTTAAAGTCCTAGTGAGCTAACCTTTTAGAAACTAGTATTCTAGAGAAATTGTATTGTAGCAGAG